TTTAAAGTCGGATGGGAGTAAAATCCTCAAGGAAAGTACAAGTACTTCAAAACTGTACTGAAGTATTGAGTAAATATACTTACTTGGTTAAAATCCACTACTGTTTTTCGCTATTTCGCTGACTGGCTGTATCTCAGCTGTTCTGGGAACAGATAAGATAGCTAACGTGAATAGTATCGACAGCTTGTGGTTAAAAGGATACTAATAGTATCGACAGCTTGTGGTTAAAAGAGCTTGGATAAGGTGAGATACATACAGGCAGCGAGAAATCGCCTGATCTGACGTTAAAAAAGTGTTTAAATGATAAGAAAAGAAACGTTTAACTCACAGTTTATACTGTACGAACATGTCAACCCTTATTTGAGACGCAGTGTTAGCAAACTCGAGTTCTAACAGCGACTACTGAGTGAGCCATAGTGCCAAATGAACATGAACTAACCTTCTTGAAAATCGGGTATCTTCAGGTCCTCTCCGTGGTCTAGAGTTTTCAAATACTGGAGCACCAGATCGACTTTCTCTTGCTGTGTCGTAGCGTCATCTAGGGTGTAATCTAGCTGACTTTGGATAGGAAATAAAACAGAGAGGCTGCACGGGGACGCCATATTTCCAAACAATAATAAGCCTGCTAGGTAAATCCGCAACAAAGATCCATACCAGCGCTTTCGACACAACAATAAAAAATATTACTGGCCACAAGGCCTTTTCCTCTGAATTTTATATTGTTTTCGGATACATTAATTATAAGCAAAGCGTCTTTGGAAGGTTTCTTGCCTTTAACTTAACGACTATTAGACCAATTTTGCGAAATTTGTGGAAAGTGCTGCTAGCATTCTAGCACACTTGTTTTCCTATAGTTATTGTGGCGGTAAAAGCTAACGTTACCATGTTCGTACGGCAACATACAATGTTTAGAAGAAAATGAGCTTTATAATAATTATAATGGACGGTTTTCGTAGCGACATGTATCCTCACAATATCAAGGAACCAACCAGTAGTCACTAATGTGACTACAAGTTTAACTTGTGTGTTAACGAGGGTTTTTCAGAGGAGGTCTTTGGGTAGCATTAGGGTCGGGACGCTTCAATTTGCTCCAAATGTCACAGAAGGAAGACTCTGAAAGTGACATTTGGGAGTATAAACCTCTTGAGAAGAAAAAGAAGAGTCAGGAATCGTCGTCTGTAACTAAAAGAAGATGTACTTTAAGAAACCCCCCCAAGAGAGACGCGTCTTTCTCAGTCAAGTCACCTGACAGGAATGTGAAAATCAAAGCAGCTGAAAGTGGAGACTTCAGTACTGTTGTTAATATAGACGGACATAACGGCTTAGAGGCAGATAATCAACCTTCAGAGTCCTCTCCTACTAATGACACAGTCCAAACTGAGGATGCTGTTGAGGGACCGTCATCAGGAGACTTTTGCCCCATGTGTCAGATGCCCTTTTCCATTTTACTGGTACAAACCCAAAGATGGCATGTGGCTGAATGTCTTGACACCCCCAGGGACAAATGCAAAGGTACAGACATCCCTATATTTTCATCATTCAACTTAATGCTTATGACTTATTGCCCCTAGGAGTGAGTGTGGTTGTGTCAGCCCTGTGATAGACTGATGACCAGTCTAGGGTGTACCCTGCCTCTCGCCCAGTGTCAGATGGAATTGGTTCCAGACCCCTTATTCCTGAATAGGGTGGTGGGGGTCTGGAACCAACTGCTTCCAACTAATGGATGGACTTAATGCTTACATTTCATACCAAATAAATGACAGTACTAATCACAGCTTCTGGTAAATTTAACATAATGTAGTGCCCTCATTAGACATCTAAATAGATACATAGTATTCTCTCATATGCCTGTATCTCTATTAATGCATGAAATGATCCGTTTGTACAATTGTTTCATAAAAATCACCAGATATAAGACACTTTGAGATACAATATGCTGTTTGATCATTTTATTATACTTAAAGGAATAGTCCAGCAATTATGTATTTTGCTCTTTCAATTTGGGGTATTCACAAGAAGCGGGTAAAAAAAAAAGTTTAAAATCAATGCAACAGAACCCGAGATATCCTGATTTTTGGTCCTTTGGATCATCAGAGCTCTAAAAAACACTGGATCCTAGCTTTCTAATACTTGACAGTATCCTTCATTATGGCTCTTTATGATTTGGCAGAACGAGTCTGGAAATCAAAAGTATACTTGAGCTGAATGGCTGAACTTGAAAGCGGTGTGAAAAGCCAAACATCATACAGAGTGTGGTGATGTGATATTTTAATATAGGAGATAACGTTGCATCTTTTTGGACAGACATTCGTAGTGTTGCATTCTGCATTGTACATGTAAAAAGTGCTGCAGCAAATACTGTAGTTGTGCAACAAATAAAAAAATGAGAGCAAGAGCTAGAAAGAGGTTCTTGGCTTCTTTCTTACCTGAGCACAACTGGCCAATCACAACATGAACTGGGTGCATCATCAGTTTCAGAAATTTACCAATATGGTCAGGCAGATGATTTTTGCATAGTTCCTGACAAATGAATGCAATGAGCTAAAAGCACCACAAACTTTTTGCAAATCTATATTAAACTGTTTTAGTTGTGTTTAAATAATCATTTTGTGGCTGGCTCTGATGAGCCTAATTTCTACATGTTTTATCTATTCATGCAGAATGTCCAGATGGTCTTCGGTGCTTCTCCACCATCCCAAGCCATTACAAGAAATTCAACCACACATTGCTGGCTCATAGTCGAGCAAACAGTGCAACAGCCTTCTTCAGTCTGTCCCAGCAGGCGGAGACCAACAGGAAGACCAGTGTCAGTTGTCTCCCGGGACTGATAAACAATGATACAGAGGGCTCCACTTTAGAGACATCACAGCAGAGTGTCCTGTCCGACTGTAGTTCCTCTCCTCACAGTAATCCCACTAGAACTTCTCTGTCTAAACTTAAAAATGGCTTTTTGTTACTGCGGTCTCCTGGTCCAGATGATTTAAAGAAGAAGAAAGGCTGGTCATTGTCTAGTAAAGGCCAAAAGACTATCAGTGCTTCCCAAGAAAGTAAAACAGAGCTTTCTTTAACTCCTATCAAGGCAGAGGGGGAAGAACAAGCTTGTGAAGGTTTTCTCAAAGGTGAGCTTTCCCCTGACAGTGATGATGCAATATCCTACTCTCCTCTTTCTGACTTCCCTGCTGAGAAGGAAGTCAATAATAGTGAATGTAGAAAAGCCCTTTTTATAAATAAACCACTTGAAAATGAAGATGAAGACTCGTTACTGTTAAGTGATGACTTCTTAAGTGGAGATGAACTCCTAACTGAATTTATAGATAATCTGGAAACCAATGATTTGCCAGTCAAGGACCTGTTTTCCTCAAACACCCAGCTGGAGCCGGTTACTTCGTTAGCACCCACTAATCAGATAACTGCCTCTACAGTTGCTGAACACAAAGCTGTTTCTACAAATGAAAAAGAAGCTCATGCTACATCTTCTATTGCCACCAGTAAGACAAGCATCCCGTCTATGCAGAGTGTTGTTTTAGAGCGTCTGAGAGAAACTCTTCAAAGCTCTGACAGCTTGTGTTTCAAAAACTTGAATGATAGTATTCAGTCGGCACAGCCCCACACACATTCTCAACAAGTGCCTTCGTCTCAAACTTCCAGTGTCCAAAAATCTCAAACCATGCCTCCTCAGAGGGGCCAGAGCAAGGCAGGTCAGACCTCCTGTCTCAAGCAGATGGACATTGGGGTGTTTTTTGGTCTAAGACCTCTTAAGGAGAAGGAGAAAGAGGCTGAGAGTGGACCTACTGAACCCGGTGCTTCCTTTGTGCCCACACTTGGTGAAAACTCAAGACAGAGACGACAAAGGAGAGACAGGCAGAGAACGAGTAAGAATGACACAACTGGAAATACCTCACAGGGCACAGTAATTGCAGATAGCAGTGATACAGTTAATGCTCAGGGAGAAGCAAGGAGAGGTGGAAGCAGAGGATCGAGAAGAAGAAGGTGGAACAGAGGGAACACTGGTGGAGAAGTAGGGTTGCTGCGCTGTCCGTTCTACAAGAAGATTCCAGGTCAGTGAGTGACTGCACATCATATATTGCCGAGTGAATCTGAACCATTTTGTAATTGAAAGTGTTTGTAAAATTTTGTGCAGGCACAAAGTTTGCCATAGATGCCTTTCGTTATGGAGAGATTGAGGGCATCACTGCCTACTTCCTAACACATTTCCACTCAGACCACTACGATGGGTTGACTAAGAACTCCACATTTCCAATCTACTGTAACAGAGTAAGTCAAGTTTTGGCCATTGTCAAGTATGACTTATTTCCAGTATTATTTAATTCAGTTTTTTGGATCTCCTGCTGTGTATTTTAATGTGTGGCTAGGCGCCTGATACCATGTTTATCCCGGTTGGGATGTGCATAGATTAAACGTATGGTACGCTACACCACTGTATTTTGAATTAGGGGTCAATTACTTTACCTGTCTTACAGTATGAACTGACCTGTACAAGGCTCTTTTTTAACCTCTTTTGGCAGGAAACAGTTATGGATGCTGTTTTTACCTCAGGGTCCTTATTAATCAGGCATCTCAGAGTAGGAAATCACTCCTAACTGGCCAGAAATTCTCAGAATGATGCATTTTTGGTCCTTCTTTTAGCAGTAGAAGTAGGAGCAATTTATCAACATTCTTATCTTAGGAAATCACTCCTATCTCCACCAAAATGTAGGACAGCTCCAGAGGTGTCCTAACTGGTTAGGAGTTGCCAAGAGGGGGTGTTCAGACAGAGATAAGCACACAGACTCATTGAGTGGACAGATGCTATTCTTACATTTAATTACGCTGAGTTAATTAAAAATACAGTTTGGCCATAAATTGAATAGTTTTTGTGGCAGCTTATGCAAGATGCAGTTGCTTCAACTAAAGGAAGAACACATGCTGTCTACACTGAAATGGGAGTTGCTGCATTTTTAGGCTACACTTTTTATTAACAAAGCAGGTACAGCAATAGTGATGAACACTTAAGTGGTTGTTAATTACGTGATCCTTGATTTAGTGCATTTATTGACCAAATGGACCCACATGTAATGAAACTTTTGTTTAAAAATAATTGACACCCCTGAATGCACAGCTTTTTAAATTTATTTATAGAGAATTAGAAAAAAATAGTGCTGAAGATAATTTCACACAGGTGAGTCACATTATGAGTGGCTTTTCAGTAAACTTGCAGCCTATTGCAGAAAGGCAGTTGATATAAAGCACATTATTACAGCGTATATGAAGTTTCTTGTCTGTACACATAAAGCCTTCCTGTTCAGAATAAAATGCATTGGTGAAAGAGGCTGGATATGATGCAAGTTCTCCTGTCAAATAGGTCATGATTTATCACAGTGGTGTGCCTGTTTTCTAGTTATAAAAATAGACTTATAAGGATTTATTGGGACTCCATTGGGGTTTTATTTGGTAGGTTACAGAAATTTGACATGGGTACCAGATGGATCATCTCCCTGAACAGTTTGAATCACTGAAAACATTTTTCCAAGTAGATTTGGAAATAAAATTTCAAGGCAAGGGTTCAGATGAATTACACAATAGAGAGCAATAGCAGATATTATATTGCAGCCTTTTACTTCTGAGGGAGTCTTGTCATTTTTAATTCTGTGGTTTAAATGTGATGTGGTGATATTTGGGAGGATTTCTTTGAAAAGTATAATGTGTAGAATAATTGTAATAATTGTTGCTTACTCAACCAGGTTTTTAGGATTTTTATAAACTTGGCAAAATCCAGTGTAGCATTTAGTGATTCTAGCAAAGTGGCCACTGGTGAGTCACTGTAAGTAAATAAATCAGAGGTGTGAGGTGATTAACAGCTGCCTCTCCTGCTCAGATCACAGGTAACTTGGTGAAGAACAAACTGAAGGTGGCAGAGCAATGTGTCCACATTCTCCCCATGAACACCCTGGTCACTGTGGAGGGAGTCGGGGTCATCCTACTGGATGCCAACCAGTGAGTCCTCCATCTGACTTCAGTAGTGATTATTTACTTGGAAGTGACTACACAGTTTGTGAGTAGAGATTATTTCATAGTGATAGAGCCCCAAGCTACAGTAATTACTTGCATTATCTTTTCAACAAGGAATACTGATAGACATTTCTGGGGGAACTCTTTGGCAGGACATTTTCTTAAATCCGTGTTATGAAAGCTTATACCTTTGCTTATAAATTCAGCCCTAATTATTCAATTGTAATTGCCAGTCACTACTCTATAAAGTCAAATAAATACCTACAATATCTACCGTTTTTGACAGTCCAAGCTTCTATGAAGATGCAAATCCTAGTTTAACACAGTGAGATCTTCCCTCAGTGTTGCTAATTGGATCATTTTCCCTCCAGGTCCATCCGTGTTCTCACTTGATGTCCCTTGCTGTCCACCCTCACTTCCCTTCTGTTTCTGTTCTCTCAGTTGTCCTGGAGCTGCCATGCTGCTGTTCTTCCTGCCCAACGGAGAGACAGTCCTCCACACTGGAGACTTCAGAGCTGATCCCTCAATGGAAGACTACCCAGAGCTACTCGGCTGCAGGGTGCAGACGCTCTACCTGGACACCACGTAAGTACCTCCCAAATACAGTGACTATATGAGTGCAGTTGCCTAATGGTCAAAAACAGGATTGTGGTTGTGCTGTAGTGTTCTCAGCTGTGTGTGTGACCTTTTTTGGTTGTTAGTATAAATACGAGTTATCAGTCATCATGGGTCAGTATTGGCTAATACATAAGTTTACAGTTCCAAGTTCAGATTTAGTTCCAGTTTGTCTTAAGTCTGCTAAAGCAAGCAGCTCTAAGAAGGGGGTGGAGAGGCCCTGAGGAAACTCATATATTCAATGTAAGCTCTGCTTTCCCTGTAGCTACTGCAGTCCTAAATACACCTTTCCCAGACAGCAAGAGGTCATCAACTTTGCAGCCAGCACAGCCTTTGAACTGGTGACGCTCAATCCTCATACACTGGTGGTGTGTGGATCTTACTCCGTGGGAAAAGAGAAGGTCTTCTTGAGTATGTATTTGAATGAGAGTTTCTGCACATACTGTACATGGTTTGCCTCAAATCAGCAATTAGGCAGCGTCATGACTGGGGATGACCACAGACGGTACACAACATAGGGTACCTGTTGCAGCAGACAGTGTCTAGTTATACTGAAATAAAATTCAGGTATAGGGATTTTCTTTTTAACTATTTATTGAGTAGTTGAGAGCATTTCACCAGCTACACAGATAGTCTTGCAGTTACAGAGCATTAAAGGTTTGCTGCCAGGGAACCACATGACTTACTACTTTTCTGTCCTTCTCTTTTTTAAACAAACGCCCTATAAATTTTAGTAATTATTTACATTTTGACAAGAGGGATATATTGCAACAGGTTTACTCGTACATGTAGGGAGACAACTTGGTAAGTAATCCTAACCCTAAGTCTTAAAAGGTCGGTTAGATCGAGCATCTTTTTCCTTACATATTGACCTATGTGTCAAATTCTGTGACGAGAAGAAAAAAAATCTTCATTCCAACAGATGACTTATTCATTTAATTCCGTAAAATGTGACTGGCTGTCGTAGAGAGGAAACCCATTCTGACCACCACTTAGTAAGTCTGTCCATTTATAGGCAAAGTGAAAAAGTAATATTTTTTCATTATGTTTACTTTAACAATATATCTGTCCATTTATCTATTGTGGGGGAGTCAGGAAGCAGCCAATGCCTGCACATGCCTTGAGATTTTTTTTTTTTTTTGTTTTTACAAGCAGATATAAAAACAACAGATAAATATTCTTGGAAGTGCTCTGAATGCAAATCAACTTTCCCGAAGCTAAAAAAATGCAGAAATGGCAAGGTATTTTCATATTAAATGTACCTTCCAATGTTTATGCATCTCTGAATAGAAGTGTCTTATTACTGGGCATTCCCAGAATAGATGGCATCATTGTGGCTCCCACACAGTCCCAGGTACAGTAGTATGAATCCTCTCCTGTGGAGTGTGCTTTCTGTTTCCATCCAGCTTCTCACCATGCTACTGCATGTGAGTTAGCACACACTTCCACTGAAAGTCATAACCGTTCTCCCTTTGATATCTTAAAGCTACCTTTATTCGCCGTTATTTTTAACATTGTGTGGAATGAGAGTTTTTTTTTTTTTTTTTTTTTTTTTTTGTCATGAAGCCTTGGGTATGGGGATTTCTTAACTTGCACATAATTGAAATTCAGTCAGATAATTCCAGGCTGACAAGTGACATGCTCTTGATGGCTAATTATATTACTGAAAATGCCATGGTAATTTGTTTGTTTAATTCTGTTGGAATAAGGCACTACCACCAGCACGAACTGGACACCAAGTAAATGTGTTTGAGACTAATAGTAAGATGAGCAGATCTTTCTGTAACCTCATTATCTTCCATTGAAAAATCATCAGATATTACATCTTTTATTGAAATGGGAGAGATCTGGAGAATTTGTGGTTTAGTGTGTTTTGAGAAAAGAGCCTCTCATTGTTATGTTGTCCTCATGTTGGAGGTAAACAGTCCTCAGCTGACACACAAATAATGGTGTGTTGGGTGTACTGACGTACTCAGAACCTGATTTCCCCATAGTGAATGAACAGCCTTAATTCAGTCTATAATCGCTTTTGCTTCAACAAGCTCTGCATGAAGTTGGAACAAAATTGACAGCTGATTCAACTGACAGTGTCTGTGCTCATCCACTTTGTCTCTGTGTGTTTGTACATGTTGTTGTACATGACAAGTGTCATTCAACAGTTTTCTTCTATTAATGCATTTTTAGTGATTACAGTTCAATGTGGTCCTGTGATAGTGATGCAAGGTAAAATATACTGTTTCTCTGTAAACCAGCTCAGAGAGATTGTAGTCTGCAGTAAAATGTACTGAGTATTGAAATGGAAAGCCAATTGCTCTGCTTCATTCGTAGCAGTGGCAGATATCCTGGGCTCTAAAGTGTGCCTCTCTCGAGACAAATACAACACCATGTGCTGTCTGGAGTCGGAGGAAGTCAGAACACATATAACCACTGACTGGAAGGCAGCGCAGGTTCATGTGCTTCCCATGATGCAGTTAACTTTCAAAGTAAGTGCAGCAGTGTCATTTTCCATTAACTGATTGGAAAAGGGCAGTTACTGTGGTGGGACTCTGGACCCTCAGGGGTCTAAACATTTTTACCACTTTAGGGGCATGTTTATGTACCAAATGAATACAGGTAAATGTTGTCCTCTAGTTCAGTGTTAAATAAATGCAAATGTAGTTTATAGCAACAACAGATGAGATTTTGTTTAGTTTTAGGAAGTGTATCCTCAGGGTACATTGTTCATTGTTGTTTTTTTGAATGTTCAATATGAGATTCTCAGTTCAATTTCCGCCCACACTTTCCTAATTTCTATAGAAACTGCAGGATCACCTGGCACGCTTTTCAGGACAGTATGATCAGCTTGTAGCCTTTAAGCCCACAGGCTGGACCTTCAGCGAACAGGTGGAATCAGTGGAAGATATTCAGCCTGAGATCCATGGCAACATCTCTATCTATGGTACAGACATCTTATTTTTGTATGCGTCATATATAGCACCATTATTTGTCTGAAATAATGTACTTTTACATGAGGAACCCATCAAATGTAGTCTGGAAAGGCCTAAAATACCAAAATACAGATGAGGAGGAATGTTCAAGTTCTCATTATGAACCAGGGTTGCAACATTAACTGTTAGAGGTGTTTTACAGCATTTTGAGGTTTTGTGCACAGTCTGAAGGTTCTGTGCTCTTTCACAGACCAAAACCAGAACCTTTTAAATGGATAGTTCTTAGATTCGATCTCAAGAGCAGCACTTTTCTCTCACCAAAAATAAATGTTCCTCACATTTATTTAGTCTACAGCTCCCTCTTTTGGCCAACGGAGGAGGAGGGGGGG